CTCCTTTGCTGTGATTTTGTCCTTGTCTTTCATTTTGGATATGTTCTTCTGTCTTCTCACTTCTCATTTTGTCTCACTCTCTGTGTCTGTTTCAATGTGTTAGGGAAATCAGCCACATCTCCTAATTTTCAACATAGTGGCCTTGTGTAGAAGTCCTATGGTGCCCTATAATATAGTGCCCTGTTTGTCAGAACCTGGTGTTTCATATTTGTCTCCTGTGTGTGTTGTGTGTGCCCTACTATTGTGGCTAAGCCACGTTTGCCTTCAGGCCCATTGGCTGCAATGGCCCAGTTTGCCTATTATGGCCTATATTTAATTCCTGTGCTGTTAAGGGGCTAGTCTGAGGCTGCCTTGGGCTTTTAGTTGTGTCAGACCAAGTGACTTCCCTCAGCCCATTTGCTGGAACTGTGTGGCACTGAACTGCAGGGCCCTCTACCTATGTTACCCCTGAGAGGCTTTCATTGGTAGATGGGGCCTGCAGTCAGGACAGATGTCTACCCCCATTTTGTCTGTTGAGTTTTCAATGACCCCTAACTATAGAGCTATCTCCATATGCTGCTCCCTGAGAGAATTTTGTTGGTGGATGAGGCTGGCAGTCAGATTAGATGTCTGCTCCCAGCCCACTGCTGGGGCTGCAGTCAAACTGATGTATGTGGTTATCTGCCCCTCTTCCCAGAGCATGAGTCACTTTGGAGTGGTATTGGCCACTGCTAGGGCTTCTCACAGAGCCATAAGGTGCTGCTTTAGATGGATCTCTGCTTAGTGGGGTAGATTTGAAGGGTCACTTCTGGAGAAAATGGGAGCTTAGTGCTCATTGGTAGCAATGTATGTGCCAATGCTTAATAAGGCTGCTCGAAGTATGTGAACTGGCCTGAGTCACTTTAGAGAGGCTCCTTTGGGTTGGTTGGATGAGGTGAATCACCAAAAGAACAAGAGGGCAAGGAACATGGTGGCAAGCTTCATGGGGAGTGTTTTCTTTGGTCTCAGCTGGTGTCTGGGTATCTAGGCTAGGGGGAAGGGAGAGATAAATAGCACCGTTTAGTTCTTTTGTTCTTGGAGGAGTCTTCTAATGATCCTTGCACTTCCAGCATACTTTCTGAGATTAGTAAATAAATCACGTTCCCCTATATCTCAGGTACTTTTCAAACTGCTGCTTCTATTTTGTATATGGAGGGGTTGTTTGTTATACTGGCTCTTTGAAGACAAGCATTCAGTTTCCTATCACCCACTGTCTCCCACAGAGTACAGCCTACTGATTTTTAAAGTTCCTGCTAATTGTAATAACTTGCAGAATTCGGCTTCTGGTTTTTGAAGTCAAATATTATGGGGATTTTTCTTTCCAGTGCAGGTCCCCCATGTGTGGAGTGTTTGGTGTTGGGTCTGTTCCTCTCCCTTCTATATGCTTGTAGTGTCTGCCCCTCCTGTGGTAGTGTCCATCCCTTTTGTGGTAGTATCAGTGATTAATTTGGTTCCTGACTCTGCCCTTCCTACCATTTTTAGATGTGACCTTTCTGTGATTAACTGTGGAGAGTCTCTTCTGGCAGTCTTCAGTTCATTTTCTGGGTTAGTTACACAGATGTGGCCATTACCTAGGTGTATCCATGGCCTGGAATAGGTGAACTTAGGATCTTCTTACTCCCCCATCTCCCCATGTTCCTCCTTATAACTTTGTTTTTGAGTGATATTGAACTAAATTTTTCCTTATTATATGATACTTATGAAATTGGAATCCAGGTTATTGTGGCTTCAATAAATGAGTGAAGCAGTGTTTTCCCAATAAAGGGAGAATAGCAGTCTCTATTTTCAGATGGCACTCTTATGCATAAGAGAAGTTATAAATTAGCTTCTTTATTTGTGACTGAATTTAAGCAATTCTTAATGGGGACTATATTTCCTAGAGTCCATGCTGTCCAACATATACATATCTAATTTTGTGTTTCAGAATAGGGGGATAAATTACTCAGAGAGAAGATCCCTAGAAATAAAATTACTGGGTCATGAATACAAACATATTTTGATAAATACACTAAGTTGCTTTATAAAAACTGTTCAGTAAATTTTGACTAAACAGAACTTCCACAGGTCCAAATTTTCAGTCCTATTTAGTATTATCTTGTTTTATCCTTTATCAGTCTAATAAGGGGCATGACACATCTCTCTTGTTTTAATTAACATTTCATTACCTGTTAAATTGAATATCCCTCTATATTTGTTTACCATTTGTATATTTTTCTTTAAATTTTCTGCTTATGATTGGCTCATAACCTTTAGAAATAATGAAATAAGGTTGTCATTTGAAAGTTAATTTCTATGAGCACACATAATGCATAGGAGAACATATGCCAACTCTTGTTTAGAATAATTCCTCAACCATGTGTCTTAATTGTAAACTGGTGAGAAGCATTAACATACCTACAGAAAGACTGTATATAGCTCTGACTGTATGGATAAATAGGAAGAGGAGTCACTGAGACAAAGCATAACAGTGCCCATCTCCGCATTGTTCAAATAGGTGTTTCCCTGCTGGGCTACCAGAGTCTGATAATCTTCCACATGTCAGCCAAGTATCCAAAACTAAATTTTAACATAGATTCACCAAAACCAGTTACTATTAATTTGGTTCCTATTTCAATCATCATTCTGTGACTCTTTGATTTGACAATTAATTTTCAGTACTATTTAAGGGGCATCTGGGTGGCTCACATGGTTAAGCATCTGGCTTCAACTCAGGTCATAATATCACAGTCTGTGAGTTTGAGCCCTGCATTGGGCTCTGTGCTGTCATGACAGCTCAGAACTTGGAGCCTGTTTCAGATTCTGTGTCTCCCTCTCTCTGCCCTTCACATGCCCCTAAAAATAAATAAACATTAAACAATTTTAAAAAAATACTATTTGACAAATCTATCCAAGTTTCTTACAATTATTAAGAAGTTGTAATTTGGAGTCTGTAATTCTGTAGGCCAAAATTTCAACTTGGACGATTATTAAGTTAATGTCAACTAATGGGCTATTTTGGTGGCTGGTCCAGCTAAATGCCGTCTCCTAGAAGTACCTTTCTGCCACCCTTATGCAGAATAAGCCTTTTTCTCATTTGAAACTTTCATGATTCTATGCTTCCTTAATAGTTATTTCCATGAGGCCTTATACGTTCCTTAATCTTCTTTATGTATCCAAAATATCTAACATAAATTACTTTTAAAAATTACATGAGGATGAGGTCGCTTTAAGTTAATCAAGACTGAACATTACCCACTGGGATTATTAACTCAGTATCTGTTTATATCTATTATATCCTACTTGTCATTATTACCTAGCTGCTAATGAATGCTTTTATAGCTATCTTGATTGTCTTGGAATCTTTTATTGAACATGGGATTGTGACCTTTGCCTCTTTTGTAATACCCGAGACCACTCATTTTAATATTATTCATATAGCCTGTTTTTAATCAGTGTTAGTTTATTCAGATAACATCCAATGAAGTAATCTCAAACATGAAAAACTAAATATGAAAACAAGAACAGACTGCTACATAGTACAAGGACTTATGTAAAGATCTGACACTTAGATATGGACAACTTAGTTTTCCACTGGCTTCCTATTCCATCATTCTGAAATACCTCATTTGTATGAAACAATAGGAGAAGTTACCTGAAAATCAGTGCTCTGGGTACTTGCATTCTCCTTGTGGCACTTACTATATGTGCTTGCATGTTAAACTTTTGGCACACTGACACATTTGGTAAGAAAGAGAACAATGCTTGTCTTAGGGACTCACAAGTAGTAAAAACAAAAACACAATCATATCTTCAGTTCAGAACCACAAATCTGAACTTGAAGCTGGCATAAATGGAATAAACTCCTCTTGGCATGGATTTGGTGATGCAGTGATGATTCTGTGACTGAATCCATCATGCTCAAATTCCTTCTCCTATTCTTTCCATGATTTAGTAGGATTCTTCTCAAGTTTCACTTAAAATTTGAGAAACAAGTATGGGATATGTTTTCTAATCACTAATATATATACTTCCTGTGACTACTATGAAATTTTCACTCTCACTTAATATTAATGAACAAACTCATTCACTATTCAAATAACCTGCAGTCATTTTCAGATGATGGTAGGTTTATTACCAGTGGTATAAACAGTCTGTATTTAAGTGCTAGAACATTTCTCCCAGAAGGTGTAAGAGTACTCTTATAATATGAACTATGAATTCGGTGATATTTATTGATGTGCTGTTTGCTTCAAAGCCAAAGTAGCAAAACTCAGTTATAATTGATAATGTATTATTTTAGGTATTTAAAATTTAGCAAAATGGTAATTATTATAAAAAACCTGTTTTAAACTGAGGCCTGATGGGGAGATAGAGGAGAGGGGAAGAGGGGTGATGGGCATGGAAAAGGGCACTTGTTGGGATGAGCACTGGGTGTTATATGGAAACCAACTTGACAATAAGCTATAAAAATTTTTTAAATAAAATAACATTAAAAAAACATGTTTTATAAACATGAGAGCTTTATCTGCAAATGTGGGATATTTGCAGCTATTTTTAGGGGCTGAGTTATTAGATGGAATAATGATAAAGTATACCAATAAAAGTAGAGGAGTCTTCATATAGCCTGTCATGTCAAAGCAGATTCTGTTTTTAACTCAAATAATGCTACCCCAATCAAGTCATATGTGTTAGCAAATCTGCTTTAGTATGGAGGTGATTTCAAAATGCTACAGGATGCTTTTTTAAACTACCTATATAAGGGGGGGAAGCTACTTAGGAATTTTAATATATTGTGTTGATTGTTTCCGGAAAGATGAGATGAACCACAGAATATTGAAACTGGTATCATATGAGATTCTGCACTGTATTTACCAACTTCAGATCACTAGAGACAGGTTCTCTAATAGTGGAAGACTAATTGTGATAGAAGCACAACAATAAAATCACATATGTGTATTACAAAGGACAATAAGTAAGGATTTGTGTTACTATGTCACAGTGGTCTAAAAGATTTGCTTAGAACCCACATGTCGGTTCCGTAGCTTTTTCATGGCTTCCTTTACATCTTTATTCCTCAATGTGTAGATCATGGGGTTAAAAACAGGAGTGAAGACGGTAAAAAACACAGAAATAAATTTATCAATTGGGAAGCTTTCAAAAGGCCAAATATAAATGAAGATTAATGGGCCAAAGAAAAGAACCACAACAGTGATATGGGCAGACAGGGTGGAAAGAGCCTTGGATGTCCCACCAGAGGCTTGCTGATGGACAGTAGCAAGGATGATAGCATAAGACATGAACAAAAGGAGGAAGCAGATAAGAGAGAGCAGGCCACTGTTGGTTAGCACAAGGATCTCTAAAATATATGTGTCTAAGCAGGCAAGCTTGATCACAAGGGGAAGGTCACAAAAGAAATTGTCTACCTTATTGGGTCCACAGAAAGGAAGATTGACTGTGAATGCCAGGTGGCTGGCTGAATGCAGAATACCAATGGTCCAGGAGACCCCCACCAGAATAGTGCACACCCTTCGGCTCATGATGGTCATGTAGTACAGAGGTTTGCAGATAGCGATGTATCTATCATATGCCATAGCAACAAGAAGCACCATCTCACTACCCCCAAAAACATGCAAGAAAAAGATTTGTGACATGCATCCCTGGAAGGTGATGGTCTTGTGTTCATTGAGGAAGTCTGCAATCATCTTGGGAGTGGCAAATGTAGCCTGACACACATCAATAAAGGAGAGATTGCTAAGAAGAAAATACATTGGGGAATGTAAGCGAGAGTCTATAATTACTGTGAGGATGATAAGGATGTTTCCCAAAACCGCAGCTCCATAAAACATAGAGAAGAAAAAAAAGAGGAAGAGTTGAATATCCTGAGAGCTAGAGAGGCCCAACAAAATGAATTCAGTAACCACTGATTTATTGCTCCATCCATTAACTGACTCTGGGTTGCTGAAGTTATCTACAGAAAAGAAAAATAATGAAAATGGATAAGGAAAAGTCCTTCACCATATTGCAAATCAAGTAGCTTCTTCGGTTCCAATAATTATAAATATAATATGGTGAGGCTATAGGACAATGATTATTCACATTACTGTTTGGAATTGATATTTTTCCTGTGATTATTTACATAATTATATGAATTGTCCTTTATTTTTGCACTTATGGGTTGGCATGAGAGAGAGGAAAAGACAGTTATTTATCTAATATTACGTCAATATGGAAGGAAGGAAGGTGTTGAGTATTTGCCTCTGTATTCCAATGTGCTTTTGAGGAAGTGTGCAAGGTCCCTATAATACTTTTAAAGACACATATGCTATACTTACGCATTCAGATTATGAATAGCAGAAAATGAGCCTGGTGCCTTTTATAGAATCTTGAAGGGAGAGAAAATTTAGGCTAAATGTAATAAGATGGATATCAGCCCAGTTACTTTGGTAAATGATTTCAGAGAAAGGGAGTGAGATGTGGCCATATATTTGAAATATCTGCAGTTATGAGAAAGAGAGAGAGAAATTAATTTGTAACAAGCTAAATTAGTGTGAGCAACAGATTGCATTCACTTTTCTATATTAAAGCAATTAATTTTTATAGCAGTTAATTATATTATTAAGCAGGGAAAAAGTATCTTCCCAGAAACTGAGAAGCATATATTTTTTAAATATTTTTTATTAAAATATTTTTTAAATCAAAAGTTATTATTTTAGAAAAATGGGAAATGGATACAAGCAGGCATCACAGAAGGAGTACAACAAATAGTCAATAGCCATTTGGAGAGGTGTGCAATCTCACTGGTAACTAAAGAAATAAAATTTCAATTAGAAATATATCCACCAATAGAAAAAAATTGATAAAGATGACATACATACATACACACAAACAGTGAATATTATTGAGCCATCAAAAGTACAAGATGTGGCCATTTGCAGCAACATGGATGTACGTAAAGGATGTAACTATATGTGAAATAAGTCAGTAATATTTGAAAGATAAATACCATATGATTTTACTTAAATGTGGAACTTAGAAAACAAAGATAAACTAATGTATAAGGAAGATATATAGATATATATATATAGATATATCTTCCTTATATATTACACACACACAATGGAATATCACTCAGCCATAAAATAAGATGACATCTTGCCATTTGTGACAACATGCATGAACATAGGAGGTACTATGCTATGTGAAATAAGTCCAACTGAGAAAAACAAAACAAATAAATAAGCAAGCAAAAAAAATAGTCTTTCAATATCACAGTTACACTATTTACTTTTTTCAATGATTTCTTTCTTACAGCTATTGAATGCAATACTATTTAGTCTAACCAGCTACCTGTTCATCAAAGATGAGGCTGAATATAATTTTAATTAGCATGTTTGCTGATTAAATTTACCCTTGTAGTATTTATGTTCACTCATGATTTGATAACCTTTCTCTAATGAAGTTGTCAAAATAACAAAAAGTATTTTCCAAAGCCTACTGAATAGTACAATCGGTGTAATTAAGTCATTCAGCAAATATTCTAGATTACCTGCTCTGTAACATGTACTTTTATAGACCCTGGAGACAGCAATGAAAGAAAAGAAAACAAAACAGAAGTTTTTGACCTTCATGTAGCTTACATTCTAAAGGGGGTGGCCAGGCTGGCAGAGCTGATTGAAAATAAATAAATAAAATATATATTTATGTCAGTTTGTGACCAGTTTTATGGAAAAAATTAATCAGATTAAAGTCATATGAACTGACCAGGTGATCAGAAAAAGTGTCACTAGGAAAGTTACATTTTCTCAAAGACTAGGAAATTAGGAGCAAGCCTTGATACAAAGGGCATAATAGCAAGCTCGAGCAGTAATTTATTCATGTGAAATAAGCTTTCTCTTGGAAAACATCAGTATAATTTTAGCAAATTTGTTAGAAACTAAATGAATGACAATTTGGCTTTTACCTTATTATGAGACTGAAAAATACATAATTATTTCTGAATAGTATTCTACTTCATAGGCTTAAATACATCCACAGTTTTCAGGAACTATAAATTCAGTCTTACAATAAGGACATGTATTTAAAACTAGCCTTTTTATTTCCTAGACTGAAATATGGGTGTTATAAAAATTGCTTTCCAAATTTTATATTTCCATACATATACATCTATAAATGAATTTGTAAGGCATTTTAATAGATTTTCATACAAATGTGATAATTTTTTTCTTCAAAATAAAAATGAAATGATCGTGATTTCTAGAAGGAATCCTTTGAAATGAAGCTTATGGCCAGATCTCAGAGGCTGGGAAGAGTTCCCTGTGTGTCTATATTAACACTCAGTGACAACTAGCTGAGATTAATTATTTATTCATGACATAACTTTCAAGCATTGAGGCCATTTAAAAATATCAAAATTGCTAATTACTTTTCAAATAGTACCTTGTAGGATCTTATGCTTTTTGAAACCTCTTTCTATATTGTAGTTCTGTGTGTACAAGGTCTGAAAAGTGTTTGCTAAGTGATAAGTATATTAACCAAAGTTTTCTGATCTTAAACCATTCCTCTTTGTCTACAGTTAGTTTTATTGAATTGACTTTAATTCTAGAATTATAGGCAGAATTTCTCTAAAACCATTCTAAAAGGATTTTTTCCATATTGAGATAATAATATTCTTATTCACACTTGTGTAATCAGCCAGTCTTCATAGAAAGAGTGAAAATTTCCACAGTGTGCCATAATAGAAATAGCACAAGTTTGAGATGAGAAAATCTGAGTGCAATTCCTGGCTTCACTACTAACTGTTTATGATCGTGTTTATCCATTCATTCCAGTTCATTGAGCACCTATTATGATTATGTGCCAAGCATTCTGTAGGCCTGCAGATATAATCAAAACAGAGAGGATTCATGTCTTCATGTAATCACTGCAAGTTTCTAAACTTTGTGTTTGTTGCAGCATACATTTGAAAGAAGTGTGCAAAATATGAAGTGATAAATATTAGTTGAGTGAGCATACTATTGTGTTTTAAAACCAGATAATAAAATTTTACCTCAGGTAAAGCCAATCTGAATGGAAAAATATCTGCTTCTGAGCAGATTAACAATCTATGAGATTTTAAAAGACCAAAAATAAGATTAAAATAAAATATTAGAATGAAATTATTTTTCATTAATAAATTTATGTAACTTATTAAAACAGTGAAATAAAAGTTTGACAAAAAGGAGATACTGAAAAAGAGACAAGTAGTTTCTTTATAGTTGTCTGTACTCATTTGTAGTTACTTCTAGTCTTTAGAGTTCTTTTTTTCTTAATATTCTTTTAATATTTGTATATTTTGAGAGAGAGACAGAGCATGAGTGGGGGAGGTGCAGAGAGAGGAGACACAGAATCCAAAGCAGGCTCCAGGCTCCAAGCTGTCATCACAGAGACCAATGGGGAGCTTGAACTCACCAACTGAGGGATCATGACTTGAGCCGATGTCAGACACTTAACCGACTGAGCCACCCATGTGCTCCTAGTCTTTAGAGTTATTTAAGCTATAACCTATAAATGAAAATAGGGTAAACTAAGCTAGCTAACCTTGTGAAAAAGAGTAAGGAATTTTTTAATGTTGCATTATGATATTTATTTCAGATTTAGAATACAGGGTTAAATAGTGCCCTGTCTTGGACATCAGGCTATCCTAGAAATCATCTTTCTTGGTTCCTGACTTTGGAAACCATCCAATTGCAAATCTTACCTAAGATAAAAATACACTGAAAGTGAAGCCAGACTTCCGTTTAAAAAGAAATGTGAAATTTATATGTGGTACTTTTTGGACTCAGAAATTTATTTTTCTTAGCCAGAAGTTTAAAAGCATTCCAGTTAAACAGACAGAAGTGAAATTAACAAACAGGAGGTCAAACTGTAGAAACTTCTTTGGGTGAAACTCTAGGTTTTTTGGCTTAGATTCATAAACACAACAATTTTTTTGATGGTTCTAGAGTTGTGAGACATGAAAAGAGTCAATGAAAGACATGGAAGAGAAAGAAGATTGCTTCACAATAAAGACCATATTTATATGAGGAAATTGGCTTCTTATCTCTGTGTATATAGTTAAGTTGGATAAAGGCTTTTGGATATGAAGGACTAAATTTAGTTGCCTTACACTGATATGTGACTAATAATTATATAATTACATATGATACAAGAGAATGCAAAAGAATAGAATATGGAAAAGGTCCTTAATCAGAAAAAAAAAGATTAAATTATAGTATTCTATATTTGTAAAATGCTGGGAAGAACGAGCTTCTGCTAATCATAATAGCCAGTATTTTCTTAGTCAAATTCATACAAAGCACTGTGCTAAACACTTCGTCCATTATCTCCTTTGTTCTTAAAACAATGGTACAAAAGAAGTACTATTATAATCCTAACTATACAGTAAAAGCAGCTAAATTTTAACAGTACAATTAGTGTCATAAGGGCACACTGCTAGCGGGAATTCTGTACCTGAAAAGCACATATTTAACCACTGTATATATTACTTACTTAGAGACCTGATAACTGAAAATCTATCAGGGGAAGTCTATCATGTTAGTAAAATGACAGTTTTGTACCCCCATTCTCTTCTCTATCATCATCTCTGTACTTTCAGAATTATATATCAGTATGCTTACTTCTAGTTGGGTATTTCAATCTGTCTCCTGTGTTAGCAGTGACAATAACCAGACAAAGTTTGATATTTTGTTTCACATTTTATAATCTCATAAACAACCTCCAAATTCTCATGCTCAAGTAATCCAAGTCATCTCAATTCTAGTAATAAGTTTAACCTAGAATCCCTTTAACTCTCCAAATGATAACCTTTATATTTAATTTTTTGCCTGATGTGATTAATTTCCACATACCAATTTTGAGAGAAATCCCAGAGGAGTAATAACAGGCTGAAGAAGAGAAATCTCCAAAATTTTTAAGGACTAAGTCACAAAATTCCATAAAACAAATATTTAAATACCACAGCACATGCTCATATATCTTAGATAACCAGTACCATGGATTGCAATAGCCAATTAAAGAACTTCCTTTATGAAGTGAAGTCATCTTGCTGTGGGAGTTATTAGCACAATTTCAGTTGCTTTTCCCAAAAACTAGATAAGAATTTTTAAATTGTCCATAATTACAAATGTGGCATATATCACAAGGGGGAAATTTAGTGACCCAGAAGCTTGCAACACCTACATTTACTCTCAATAATCAGCTTCCCTCCATTTGACTTCTTTTCCATTGTTTAGAGTGACTATGCCCATAAACACTATGTCTTATGCTCAGAACTGAAGAAAATCTAATCAGAAAAAAATGTAAATCTGACATTTACATTCTGTGACTAAGTCACAAAATCTGGAATTTTGTTTTTTCTAATTCTTCACGTTCTTTTCATGGAAATACTTATGATTAAGTTTTTAAAATTCCATACTACACAATATGCTGCCAAAAAAGGCCCTCAGAATTTTCAGTTGTCATTGTTCAATATCTGTCCATACATTAGAATCAGAAAGAAAGCTTAGTTGAGCATACATGGGTATAACTGCTTATGTACCTGTAGCTGGCTTTTGAACATTGTGGAAAGATATTTCAGAGCAGTAGAAGGGCTAACGAGGTCTACAGAGAAGAGCAGGTGACAGACAGAAAATAATGTTGACATACAGAGAAAGTGCCCAGAAAATTTGGCAAGTCTAACGAAGGAGCCCCAACTCCTCTGAGTTCTTTGCTAATAGACCAAATACCTTCTTGGCATTTTCCCTTTAATATTTCACAGATATTTGTTCTTCTGATTCCAAACCTATTTGTCCTTTTCTCTACCCCATCCCAGCTAATGGCATTTCTCTTTCCTGTGATTTTGGTTAGAAACTAAGCTCCTTCCTTTTCTTCACTCCTTTCCAAACCCTTCTTTGCTTTCCCCCAAATATTCCTGATTTACAAAATTATTTCCATCTTAACGTCCTGTCTAAACCTTTATTATCTTTCCCCATTAAGTGTCTTAAAGTCCTTCTAATGGTCTCTAACTTGTGCCACTGATGTTTTCCAGTCAGGCCTGTATACTTCCCTCTGCAGATTGTCTTTGCTGCATTCCAAAAGTTTTAGAGTGTCAAGTCTTCATTTTCATTTGCTTCCATGTATTTTTTAAAATTTCTTCTTTAATTTCCTGGTTAACCCATTCATTCTTTAGTAGGATGTTTAGTAGGATGTTAAACTCTTTGTATTTGAGGGCTTTCTAAATTTTTTCTTGTGTTTGACTTCAGGTTTCATAGCATTGTGGTCTGAAAATATGCATGGTATGATATTAATCTTTTTGTACTTGTTGAGGGCTGGTTTTATGTCACAGTATGTTATCTATTCAGGAGAAGGTTCAATGTGCATTTGCAAAGAATGTGTTTTCTACTGCTTTAGGATGAAATATTCTCAATTCATCTGTTAAGTTTGTCATTCAAAGCCATTGTTTCCTTACTGATATTCTGTTCAGATGATCTACCTATTGCTGTATGAGGGGTGTTAAAGTCCTCTACTATTATTGCATTATTATCAATGAGCTTCTTTATATTTATTATTAATTGATTTATATATCTGGGTACTTTCAAGTTAGGGGCATATATATACAATTGTTAGCTTTTCTTGATGGATAAAACCCTTAATTGTTGTATAATGACCTTCTTCATCCCTTGTTATAGTCTTTGGTTTAAATTCTAGTTTGTCTGATATAAGTATGGCTACTCCAGCTTTCTTTTTACATCCATGAGCATAATAGATATTTCTCCACCCCATTACTTTCAATTTGAAGGTGTTTTGAGTCTAAAATAAGTCTCTTGTAGGGAACATATAGATGAATCTTGTTTTTTATCCATTCTGATAATCTGTGTATTTTGATTGGAGAATTTAGTCTATTTGCATTTATAGTGATTATTGAAAGATATGAGTTTAGTGCCACTGTGTTACCTGTTGAATTGGTGTATCTGGTGATGTTCTCTGGTCCATTCTGTCTTTGTTGCTTTTGGTCTCTTTTTCTCCACTCAAAGAGTCCTCTCTAAAATTTCTTTCAGGTCTGGTTTAGTTGTCACAAACTCCTCTAGTTTTTGTTTGTCTGGGAAAATCTTCATCTCTCCTTCTATTTGAATGAAGCCTTGCTACATAAAGAATTCTTGGCTGCATATTTTTCCAGTTCATCACACTGAATATATCCTGCCACTCATTTCTGACCTGCCAAGGTTCTGTGCACAGATCTGCTACAAACCTAACCTGTCTTCCCTTTTAGGTTAAGGACTTTTTTCCCTTGCTGCTTTCAGTATTCTTTCCTTGTCTGAGTATTTTGTCAATTTGACTATGAAAAGCCTTGATGATGGTCAGCTTTGTTGAATCTAACAGGAGTTCTCTGTGCTACTTAGATTTTGATGTCTGTGTTCTTCCCCAGTTTAGGGAAGTTTTCAGCTGTAATTTATTCAAATAAATGTTCTGCCCCCCTTTCTCTCTCTTCATCTTATGGGACCCCTATGATACAAATGATATTACATTTTAATAAGTCACTGAAATCCCTGTCTACCTTCATAATTCTTTACCTTTCTTTCCCTTTTCTTTTAAGCTTCCTTATTTTTCATAGTTTTCTTTTTTAAGCTTATTTATTTATTTTTAAGAGAGAGAACAAGTCGGGGAGAGGCAGAGAGAGGGAGAGAGAGAATCCCAAGCAGGCTTCATGCTGCCAACATGGAGACTGTCATGGGTCTTGATCTCACAACCCATGAGATGAAATCAAAAGTCAGATGCTCAATCTACTGTGCCACCCAGGTGCTTATCCATAATGTTATTTTCTATATCATGAATTCTTTCCTCTGCTTTGTCAATCCTCATTTTTATGGTATCCACTGGGTTTGCATCTCAGTTATAGCAATTTTGATTTCAGCTTCGCTAGATTTTAGTTTGTCAGTCTCTTCAACAAATGGTGTTAGGAAAACTTCACAGTAACATCCAGAAGAATAATATTGAACCATTTTCTGGATGAAAGACCTAAATGTGAGACAGGAAACCTTTAAAGTCCTAGAGAAGAACACAGGCAGCAACCTCTTTGACCTTAGCCATAGCAACTTCTTACGAGACACATCAATGGAGGCAAGGGAAACAAAAGTAAAAATGAACTAATGGGACTTCATCAAGATAAAAAGCTTCTGCATTGCAAAAGGAACAACAAAACTAAAAGCAGTCAACGGAATGGAAGAAGGTATTTGCAAATGACATATCCCATAAAGGGTTAGTATCCAAAATCTGTAAAGAACTTATCAAACTCAATGCACCCCTCCCTAAAATAACCCATTTAAGAAATGGGCAGAACATTCTGGAAAACAGTGTGGAGGTTCCTCAAAAACTTAACAGTAGAACTCTCCTGTGGCCCAGCAATAGCACTGCTAGGAATTTACCCAAGGGATACAGGAGTGCTGATGCACAGGGGCACATGTACCTCAGTGTTCATAGCAGCACTTTCAACAATAGCCAAATCATGAAAAGAGCGTAAATGTCCATCAACTGACAAATGGATCAAGAAGATGTGGTTTATCTGTATAATGGAATAGTAAATGGCAATGAGAAAGAATGAAATATCCAGACTAATATATTTCCTAGGAATCCAGAAAGCAATGGTTTTACTATATTTACCTGGTGAGGGTGCCTGATAGCCTCCATAAAACTTTACACATGATACTGAAAGTTCTAACCCAGGGGCACCTGGGTGGCTCAGTCGGTTAAGCATCTGACTTCAGCTCAAGTCATGGTCTCACGGTTTGTGGGTTGAAGCCCCGCAACAGGCTCTGTGCTGACAGCTAGCTCAGAGCCTGGAGACTGCTTCAGATTCTTTATCTCCCTCTCTCTCTGACCCTCCACTGCTCATGCTCTCTGTCTCTGTCTCTCTGTCTCTGTCTCTCTGTCTCTCTCAGAAACAAAAGCATTAAAAAAAGAAGATGTGGTCTATATATATGATGGTATACTACATGGTAATGAGGAAGAATGAAATCTGGCCATTTGTAGCAATGTGGATGGAACTCAGGGATGTTGTGCTAAATGAAATAAGTCAGGCAGAGAAAGACAAATACCATATGTTTTCACTCATGTGTGGAAAAGGAGAAACTTAACAGAGGACCATAGGGGAGGGAAAGGGGAAAAATAGTTAAGGAGAGGGAGGGAGACAAACTGTAAGAGACTTTTAAATACTGAGAACAAACTGAAGGTTGATGGGGATGCAGGAGAGGGGAAGGGGTGATGGGCATGGAGGAATGCACTTGGGTGAGCACTGGGTGTTAAATGAAAACCAACTTGACAATAAACTATAATTTTAAAAAACGATACCCCCTCCAAAAAAAAAACAACTTGTAAACAGTGAAGCCATTGTGGAAAACAGTTTTATATTTCCTCAATAAATTAAACATAAATCAAAAACAACAACAACAAAAAGAAATGGGCAGAAGACATGGGTAGATACTTTCCAAAGACATCCAGATGGCTAACAGATACATGAAAAGGTTTTCAACATCACTCATCAAGGATGGAGCTAGAATGCATTATGTTAAGAGAAAAGTCAATCAGAGAAAGACACCATGATTTCACTCATGTGGAATTTAAGACACCAAACAGATGAATGTATGGGAAGGAAGGGAATAAAGAGAGGGAAAACAAACCAAAAGAGACTCTTAATGATAGAAAACAAACTGAGGGTTGATGGAGAGAGGTGGTAGGGGATGGGCTAAATTGGTGCTGGGTCTAGAGAGTACTAGTGCTGGGTATAGAGAGTACTAGTGATGAGCACTGGGTGTTGTATGTGGTGAATCACTGAATTCTGCTCTTGAAACCAATGTTGTACTCTATGCCAGCTAATTAATATTTAAATAAAAATCGAGGGGTACTTGGGTGGTTGGTTAGGCTCGGACTTCATCTCAGATCATGATCCCACGGTTTGGGAGTTCAAGCCCTGCGTTGGGGCTTTGTGCTGAAAGATCAGAGCCTGGAGCCTCCTTCAGATTCTGTGTCTCCTCCTCTCTTTGCCTCTCCCATATTCATGCCCTGTCTCTCTTTCTCTCAATAATAAACAAAAACATTTTAAATAAATAAATAAAAATTTAAAGGAAGGGAAAAAACAAAGGGGAGGAGAGGAGAGGAAGGTCATTTCACTCAGCAGCTTTATCTGAACACCCTTCCCTCTGTCATACTCCCACTTTTTTTATCTCAAATTATTTGCTCCCTTCATAATACTCATTACAATTTATTTTACTTATGTTTGTTTACATGCTGGTGTTTGTTTTTCCTTCTCACATCCATACCCCAAGACTATTAGCTCCATACATCTGAGTTTCTCAGATCAATATTATACCTGGCACAGAACTTAGCAAATGGTATATGCTGAAATGA